GGCAACACTTTTGTTAGGTTTTGAATTAGTTTGCAGATTGTGCTGCTCTTTCTTTCTTTTCTTTGGATTTTGCTTCTTATTTACTTGCAACTTATCTACATTATTTTTCTCATGATTTATTTTGGGATATTCCTTTTTTATACTAGAATCTTTGTTTTTGAACTTCGCTCTCAATTTCTTCTTAGAGTTCCTTTTAATCAGTTTATCCTTTTGAGCTTTTTCTACTTTTCCTGTGGATGTCTTTTTTAACTATGTAAAAAGTCTTTAATTAATACACAGAAATATAAAAAACTGAAGCCTTACACTGAAAGTATCCTTCCATATTTTTTCACTAGATGAATCTTTATCCCAATTAGGAGTATGAAACACCTTCATATTTTACTTTTAAATCTCAAAAACTTGTAGTTTCAGGATCTAACCTGCAAAAATTTTCTATAAAAATTAATTTTTCACCTTTACTGTCTGTAGTACTTTTCAACAATAGTAGTATTATTTTAATATCAGCATAAACAGTCTAAATATTATGTAAATTCTTTATTTTATGCATAATTAAACAGAGTATGCCCCAAATTCATCTCATTTTTAAAAAGCTTACTGATGTGAACATCGTACACGAACTTCCCAGCATTATTGAGTCAACATTTATTTAGCCACTAAATAATATATATGTGAACCATTTCCAACAAATTACATTTAAATAAAAATAAAGATTTTAAAACAATTTATTGCATTATGATTTATATTACATCTTAAAACTACAAAGTACATAAGTAGATAAAGCTAAATAATTAATTAATTTAGTAGAACATACGTAGTAGTAAAATTATTGAACAATCATATAAAAAGGCTTTTAAATCATTTATAGGGCAAATAACTTCTTAAAGTACATTACAATAATACATATTAAAGTCATTAAATGTTAATAAATAAATCAAAACGTATACTTCATCGAATTCCAATTTCGTAAATGGGAAAGCACCGAGTTAAGTTTAATTTTCCAGTTTTTCATGTCTGCTAATGTATCAAAAGACAAAAAATATTTAACAAAAATAGTTTCTTCAGTAGAAAGTTTTTCATTGGGAGTTATTTCTATCAATAACGTTTTAGACTTGGAACAAAGCTCTCTACAAGCTTCGCAAATTCGGGAATTAACGCAAAGTGCTAGATCAATATTATGAGTAAACGGTAACATGCTATCATCACATGGATAGTTCTTTTGTTTGATAATTGATCCTTCTAAGTAACACCACATTCTATCCCAAGACAAACTTCCTCCAACTTCATATCCAATGGTAACAAATCCAGATTGTTCTTCGTAAATATCTACCATGGAGTTAATGGCCATGTTTACACTTATATCTAGAGCATTTGCTATACTAAAATTATCCAGTTTAAATGGCGATAAATGTTTTTTTGTTAAAGTTGTAGAATTTAATGTAAAAGAACCACAACAAATAAAAGACGACGATGATATTTGGTAAATTGAAGATAGGTCATACCAGTGCGGAATATGGTTCCATTTTAACATTTTGCGAAAGTTTGGACGAAATTGTTTCTTCTAAAATAAAAAACAAAAAATGTTATGTATTATTAGTTACATTAAAATTCAAACAAATATCATCTGAAAATAATCACCTGGGGACTTACCCTGAACATGTTTTGATGGGAACTTTTTGCGCAGGATTTCTTCGTTTCCAAAAAGTACAAATACATTTTTATTTCGAAGTTTGACTTCAAATTGAAAAATTCAAACTCTTTTTGAAATTGTAGTTTAGATGAATCGTCTTTTCGTTGAATTTCTGAGCATATTACGTCGAGTCCACAGGTGAAAATACAAACATACGATTTTTCAAATTGATTTCGCTTCTTTGAAACAGCAGGAGCTTTTAAATTATTGATTGAAAATCTCAAGTTCCATACGCGTATGTATCCGGAATAGTTGCTGTTTTCCTCTTCACTTTGATTTTCCATTATATTTTTTATTTCTTCGACAAGCGCTTTTTTCCTATGAGCTACACAATAGAGTTAATCTTTAGAATTAATAGTTACAGTGGAAAAAAAAAGAACGTACTAAGGAAAAGTAGCAATTTTTCAGCTTCGATATACTCCTTGCTCTTCTGTACTTTCTTCTCTCTGGTTTTACAAAGTGCGATAATTTTTGAAACTTGCATTATGGTCTGATTTTGAATTACAAGTTGTTGGTTTAAGTTTTCCAGTTTTGTAGCTGTATTAAGGCAATCTTTATTTTCTCCATAGTTAGCCAAAATTTCGGGAAGAAATTTTAAATTTAAAGGGGATTCCATCCTCTAGCTAAAAAATAGAAATTGTAGCAGAAGATAAATAAAACGATAAGAAAACGTACCTGTACAAATAATAAATAAATCAAAACGTATACAATTATTTAATTACGAAAATTAAATAAAAAACTATTCAATACTAATTTTACGACGTTGTGATATGTGCATATAACAACGAACTGTAATCAATGCACATTTGAAATGAGCTACAAAAGATTTTATGAATGATTATCTAAAGGTAGGTACTTGGTATTGATATTGGAAGTTATTTCATTTTGCACTTTCCTATTTTAAATAATCTAATGGTTGTTTGTTTTGTCTGGACTAATACAGGTAATCTCTTTGCATGAAATCATTTTCGAATAGACAAAATAAATATTATTCCATTTGATTATATTATTGCAATTTTAATTTCTGTATTGATAACAGTATTTATCCAAGATTAAAGGATGAAGATGAGACTGTTTACTGTTCAATTTTCGATTATTTAAATTTTATTATTATTAATTCGTAAGTAACTGTATCTATCCTAGAATTACTTTTAAGACCATTTTATTATTCTATTTTTACTTTATGCTATTATTATTATAATTATTTCTAAAAATAGTGTTTTTTTAACAAATAAAAAAATATGTTTTTATACTCAAGAAGTTTTACTATGATAAACTATATATTACATTTAATGTTATTTGTTAAAGTAGTTATTGCTTAACATTTGTACAATTAAAAACGAATATGTTTATTCCATTATATTGGAAAAACAAATATCTATTCGTCATAAATTGGCAATTTAAATACTAAAATATCAATCACACTTTTTGGTAATCCTAAGCAGTTGAATGTTTTTTGTAATTGAAAAAAATCTTTTATTTCGTATTTAGAAATAATTATAGTTCTAGTAGCATTTCTTGCAATTTCGAGCAATGAAGGTACTGTACGAATGTATAGTTTACTCATGACTACAGAATTAAGTTCTTTAATTTCTTTGTTAGAACTGCCCCATCCTGTATTGTCGACGAAATCAATCATAGGTACTATAGTTTGAAAATACACAGTTTTAAACTCCTCAGTTGGTGTGCAGTATTGGAACATAAGTAAAACTTCTTTCAAAAAATAAGGAAATGAAAAAGTGGGAACATAATCTTCTATAAACGACTTAACAATAGTATTTACATCAGAATGAATGGTTAACAGCAGACTAGGTAGTAAACAACTGTTTACTGTGAATGGGCTTTGATCAATTTCTGTTAGCAATAAAGCCTCAACTTCTTCATTGTATCCAAAATGCTTGTACATTAAGTATACATCATTGCTTTCTACAGGCATTGAATGAGACAGAAATAAATAAATGATCTTAATTCTATCTTCTTTTGGTACCATTCGAGCAGCTAAGCCTTCAATCACAGAACTAAAGGGATTTCTTGTCAGACATACATAACTATCTACAATATCAAATGCAATATCAGACTCAAAAATTTCATATAAACAGTCAATCCATTCGTTCACATTAAAGTGACAAAATTCAGAAAAATATAAATCTAGTATAGGAAATGAAGTACAGAAAATCACTTCTTTGTCCATCCTCAACCATAATTCTTTAAACATAGTAGGGTCTTTCCAAAATATGGCATCTTGCAGTGGATGATCACCTAAAGTACTCACATAATTCACATCACCACCTCTTTTTATGATTTCAAAAGCAATAGGATTTTTAAAAGACAGTGCAAGCAACAGTGTACTTGATCTTAAATGGTCTTTTGTAGAAATATTAAAGTCTACTTCATACTCTAACAGTTCCATTGCAGCATCATAACTGTGAAGGCTTCTCATGAATGGAGTGTAGCCATCATCACATCTATAAGTAGGGTCTGCTCCATAAAATAAAAGCATTTGAATAATTGGAACTTTCACTGGATCAGATACTGCTTCATGTAAGGGAGTTGCCCCATAAAAATCAGCTGCATTAACATTTGCACCATGTTTGACAAGAGCTTCACACACCTCTAAGGAATTTTTGGATACAGCCAACTGTAGTGGTGTTATAAAATCATCATTAGGAATTGTTACATCACAACCTGCATTTATAAGTTTAATTGCTGGCTCCTTGAAGTTCTCCAATTGTAAACTGAGACTCAAAGGTGTTTCTCCCAAAAACTGCACGTTCAAATTTATATCTGGACGTTGCAACAAAATATCAAGAATATCTAAGCTGAAAAAAGCATTATCAAGAAACTAATCAAAAAGAAAAACATTCAGCTCATACTTCTCAACTAAAATTACGAGATGGATTAAAGAAAATCCTCTCTCATTAGGGTGATTAATATCCAAGCAGTTATCAACTAATTCCTTAAACTTCTCCACATCTCCAGTATGTAGGGCTTTTATAAGGCAGTCTATCAAACTGTTTGGCCAATTTGGCCACAAATTCTTCTTTATATTTACAATTTCTCTAGCATAATAAAGTAAATGTTCATAGGCACTCATTCTGCATTTAGAGAGATTTAAGTTTTAATAAATCACTTATTAACTTGTTGTTTTCATATAAACTTCAAACATCAGCTTATGTGTGGTTATGTTTTTTGTCATGGTCATTTATCATAGATAAAGTCATTTATCAACCACAATATAAACCACAGATAATATCTTAATAATAACTTATATAATAACTAGTTATTCCCCGCTACCAGACACTGTGAGCTCGAAANGCACAAACATGAGTAGAGGTAAACCTAGATTAGATTACTGTTCGCAAATAGTTAAGGATGTGGGCTGTTCTAGTTTTAGGGAAATGCGAAGTTTATCTCAGGATAGGAAAGAGTGGAGGTACGTGTCCAACCAGTCTTAGGACTGATGACCTTATGATGATGAAACGAATGAAAACCTTGTCTAAAAATAATTTTTATTTTTTGTCACTGAATACGAAACAAACTAATTTTCATTGAGTCGGTACCAAGTCTAAGTTTTTGTTCTCGCAGTTACTCTAAGAAGTTTCAGAAGTAAAATAAATCCAATTGAATTATTTAATCTATTAGAGTTGTATACGAAATGTCTAGAAAGTTAATAGTTTAATAATTTAACGAAATCCTAATTTATTTCTATTATTCATTCTTTTTGACATTGATTTCACGCTAATTGATTTCGCTCCTTTCTTTTTACAAATTGTAATTCATTAAGAAAAGTGCAAAATGGAGTATCAATATATACACCAACGAATATTTTTTGAAGTTGGATGCTCAGTTGACAAAAAGTTGAATGAAAAGTACTTGTAAAGCTACGCATTTTCACATGTTTTTTGTTAATTACTCAATACTATAAAGTTTAATAGTAGGTAGCAAAAGTCGATAAATACTTTTGAACTATAATCTATTATATTTAATATTCACCCATAATATTCATAAAAAAAGGGTGAAGGGACGAGTGGTCACACCGCTTGCGTGTGCTTGAATAATACCCAAGGCATAAGTAGATAAATGTATAGTATTTTAGTAAATTTTTGTGCAAAAAAGTCTGGAGTTCTTGGATCTAAATGCCCAGAAAACTCAAAAACATTGGACACTTTTTTGAAATTGGACTAAATACATTATTCTATCGAAAAAACATTATTTTCGTTACAATATATTAACTTACCCAACTGCAACAGTATCCAAATTGAATTTGAAACTGCCACTATCAATTCACACTAATTATCACTTTTTGATTAATTAGTTAGTATGTTCCCGTTGTATATCAGATATTAATGAATTTATTCACACGGTACTTTATCCCTATCTTTCGACTCGACCGATTACTGCATACAATATTTAAAAGAAGGACGAACACTGACTTACATGAATAAAATATGAAGGTCGTACTGACAAGGATAATCAACAGCTGAAGATAAAAAACGATACATTTTTTTCTTGTGTTTAAAAGGATCTTGTTTTCGTCGAGTTGTTTGCCTTTAATTCCTGTAACTTCTTTTATTTATTGTGATTGATATCGCTTTCATTTTATAGAGTTCATTCAAAAAGAAGTGGAACTGTTTTAACTAAATCTAACACTAAGTGTCGACAATAATTAAATAAAAAACTAATCGTTTTTAATAACTGAAACAGAAATTGAATTTAAAAAACAAAAACCGACATGAATTTTTATTTTTTATTGTTTTCTTTTCTGATTAAACAGAAAACGGTTCTATGTGAAAATATACTCAGTAAACGTATCCTATCAAAAAAGGAAAAGCCTTTCTTGAATTTTCAATGATGTGTAAAATAACAATGGGGTGGAAATTTCACTATTCAACTCACGTATTGTCTCTGTTAGATCTAAATAAGAAAAGGCAATTTCAAATGTAAAATAAAAGGTTGCAATGCTACATTACTCCACTGTGCATTTTCACGAAAACATATACCTAGAATTTTTGTTTCTATTCTATATTTTACATAAATATCTACGATACACTGTTTCAAGTAAATATAGTTTTTATGTTTTCAATTCAATTGAATACGAAAACTTCTAACTGTAATTAAATAGAAATTGCTTAAAAGTTCTTCTACTTAATTACCACCTAGAAATAATTTACATCTGATTCCGTTGTTTTTATTTAAATACCTAATTAAGTTTCACCCTATAAACAAGAACAAAACAATAATAAAATGGTACGTTTTCGGGTGCCTACTTTTTCGCTCATAAAATGAATGTTATACTCAATTGATTGGTTTTATTACAATTGGGGTTGAAACTTAAAATCAATAATTAAGAACCCTTTGTTATATGTTAATAACTTATCAAAAGCATGATAAACATGGTAAAGTCCTCTATAATGCATGGAACAAAGGGCTCTAATTTGTAATTAGTGTCTCGCCTCCTGCTGGAAATTTTACTAAGAATTACTTATTGCATATTACCTACACGAATTAATTTACAAACAAGCCGAAAATTTATGGTACTAGTACTGAAATTATTTAACAAGGGCACGTAATGGCAACCAATTATAATTTAGAGTGAAGTAATTATTTATTACACAAAGCAAGGGGCCATTTCTTATTTGGTTTGAAAAAGAAACTTTAAAGTTAATCGGTTACTTTTTATAATTACTTGTAAACCTTAGATACGTATGTAATATTTTGTGTATTCAGCGACATACTGAACAAATGTAAGTCAGAATGAATTTTTTTGGTGATTTGTTACCATTTTTTGAGGCTTGATTTTTTAAAGATAAGAAGTGCATACAAAGATTACAAAAGAATAATATGTTCAAAAAGTAATACCATATAAATAAATCATGCATTAAAAAGTAAAAAAACACATGTATATCTACGCAATTTAACTTAAAACTGTTTTTAATGTTTCTTTTGTAAATAAATCTCTTTGTTTATCTCACTCAAGCTGTTACTTTTTAAAGGCACCCTTTACAGAAATAAAACTTTATCAAATCGGCTATATTATCCACTGTTAAACTCTTATCTATTCCTTTTATGCCCATTACGTCTTATGGGTACTTTTACGATAATATATGAAAGGAATATTTAATTTTAAATGTGCATTGACGCTCCATCTAACGGATAACGTAGGAAATGTATTACAAAATTAAAAATATTAAATTGCTAATTACATGTATTATATTAAGTAAAATAAAGTTGTAAGTTTGTTCTGATATTATTTATGATAAATAAAATACTTTTTGTTTTCTTTTATATTTATTATAACGATTTTAAGATACAATAATTGTACATTAGTTTTTATTAAAGACAGTTAATAATAACTAGGTAGTTCCCAAAATAATTTTATTTTAGTACATAAATGGTATTAATACGTACTAATATAATACATTAACATTAACGTTTCTTATAGATACATGGTTTAAGATTTACAGGTTGCAGTTTAGTCTTTTTGGATGTATTTTCTTTTTTCTTAAAGTCAATAAAATAAAATAAATTATGTGATAAGTCTTTCCTTGAAAACTGAAATCCAAACAACTTCACTTTTTTTATGAATTCTTCAACTGAATCAAATCTACTTTCGACTTCTGCTATTTTCATAATACCCCTAAAAGAAAATTTATTTAATTTTACATTATTTTAACACGACAAATGTTGAACAGACCCTATCTTTAACACCCTGTTTGCTTCTAAGAGGTAATCTTTCAAGTTTGTTCCCATTAAAGATAAACAGAAGACAACAACATCAATGCTACTGTTCTCAAGGGGCACATGAGCCATATCACATACTTGAACATCATCACTGAGAGCAACCAAATCAAATGAATGGACTTTTTGGGGAACTGATTTTGCTAATCTTGCTTCACCACATCCAAAATCTGCCACAGTAAAATTTTCTGGCCTTAAATAATAATATAAGAGTACATTATTATACAAAAACATTTTTTTTACAATTATTTAT